CAGGTCCTGCGTGGCAAGACCATTCCTTTGGTGAAAGTCTTGTGGAAACATCACGGAGTGGAGCATAGGCTGTATGCCAAGTTTGGGAAGTGTGAGTTCTGGCTGGGGGAAGTCAAATTCTTAGGCCATGTGGTATCCGGGGAAGGGGTGTCTGTTGATACATCCAAGGTTGAGGCAGTGCAAGACTGGGCATAGCCTAAGAGTGTGTTTGAGATCCGCAGTTTTATCAGCAGGGCTTGTCAGTGGCCGAGTTTGAGGCTACTTTTACCAGTCTGTCTAGGTTTGCACCTGAACTGGTGGCGTTTGAGGAACGCCGTTGCTATGAGTTTGAGCGGAAGTTGAGGCGGGGCATCAAGTTGAGAATTGGTGGGTCTTATATTCGAGAGTATAGACACCTAGTGGACGCTGCAGCTCATATGGAGCTTATGATGAATGTGTCATGGAACTTGACGGTTGATAGAATACGTTTGAGGTAGGTGATCATGTCTTTCTGAAGATATCACCTAGGCGAGGCTTGATGAGGTTTGGGAAGAGTCGGGCTACGGTTAAGAATAAGTACCCTATGCCCCGTATAGATGATTTGTTTGACCGGTTGAAGGGTTCCCGTTGTTTCTCTAAGATAGACTTGAGATCGGGTTACCACTAGTTGAGGGTCAGGGAGGAGGATGTTCCTAAGACGGCATTCCGTACGCGGTATGGCCATTATGAGTTTTTGGTGATGCCATTCGGACTTACCAATGCACCGGCAGTCTTTGTGGACTTGATGAACCGGATTTTCCGGGAGTTCTTAGACCGCTTTGTGGTTGTTTTTGTGGACGATATCCTTATCTATTCGTGGCTCGAACAGACAACGAAGACGTTTGAGATGCTTGGCATCGAGGACGGAGCACTGAAAGTGACCTTGGCATCCTTCCAACTGAAGGGAGATGCGGGTCAATGGTGGAAGTACGAGAAAGCTCGTGTCGGTGGTACTTGGGAGGCGTTTGTGACTTAATTACATTGTTTAATTAATTGGGGTAATTAATTGTGGGAAATGAGGGAATGAAATGTTGATTGAATATCCATTTGTGCATTTATTTTCTGTTTAGAAGTAACTGCTTTGGGCTATAGTCTGAGCGTACTATTCAGATCCTCGAGGATATGCTTCGGGGTTGTGTCCTGGACTTCTGTGG